GACAGGGCAGGAGAGTGCAAGGTGCAGAGTTTGGCCGGGAGCGCGGCGGCGGTAGGTGGCCTCAGGTGCCCCGGGCCGGGTACCCTGAGGCTGTGTCGAAGAGGCTGGCCCTCGGACCTCGCAGCGCGGAGGCAGGACCTCCAACTCTGGCTGTGAACAGGGGCCATCGCTGCTGACAAGACTCCTGGATGATTTTACATTCCTTCACTCCCCGCTGTTTCCCTGCCAACTACAAGGAGAAGGCAGACTCTCTGAGGTCACTCAGGCTTGTCCTCTGCAGCTCCGGGTTGTTGTGAAGTCGCGGAAACAGGTGGAATCCTACCCATGAGCTTTATGGCTTTCTGCAAGTATTGTACTTGTCTGATTTCAAGCTTTCTCGTTTATGGGATCCAATGACAGCCCCATCCGGCCTCCTCCCGGATAAGCCTCTGTGAATCAACTGAAAACTAACCACTATCTCATGAGGTCAAAGCGACCACTGGCCATTTTACGGAACAGAGTGCAGAGAGGTCCTGCTCCTTGCCCACAGCGCTTCAAGTAGCTGAATCTAAGGGTGAATTTAGAGCAGCCTGCACTTTAGAAGTGGGGTAAGGAAGTGTCAGAGAAGAGCCACCAGGGCCCTGAGCCATCTGGGCCGATTCCACGTCCAGCCATAGGCCCAACATAACCTTGGGCAAGGTGGTTGTGGATTAGTTTCCTCAGAGGACAGTGATTCCTACACCTTGATCTTTCCTCTTTTTAGGCTGCTCCCCTGGGAGAACTTATATCCCAGCCCTTGCCTTGACCTTCTGGTGAAAGCATTGGACCCTCAGCAGGGCCATCTGGCCCACGAGCCTCAGCTTCTCTGTGAGGTGAAGTTCATGGGATTCTTTGAAGACAGATGCCAGCAGTTTAGAGAAGACACCTGCCATCCAGTGCTTCGCTGTGTCCCTGGCACCCCCAAGTCCACCCAGTTCTCTGACTCACCAAACGCACTCTCCTAATCTCGAGGGCAGAAAGGGTTACAAATGTTCCCAGATACTGGCTCTTATTTCCCCTAGGTGCTGGCTAGGGTTGGTGGAGATCAAGTTCAGAACCAGGGAATGCTGGGAGGGAGCAACCTGAAGCTAGGCCTTAATAAGGGTTCACATTTCAGGGTTGAGCAAGTCCCCTGCCTAGTGCTTGATCCACAACATCTCAAAGGGCTGCCGGTAAGGAGGATGGGGAAAACACTGAAGCTCACACTGTCAATGTCACTAGCCTGAGGCCACCATCTGACTCAGGATATTCCCGTGATATTCCCACCTGGGCCTCTCTCCCATACCTCCCTACTGTGGTTTGCTTCCCAGCCAACTTCCAGGCCCTGATCTCCATTCTGCTCTCTGGACAAGCAGAGGACATTGAGGTCCGCTGAACACCTAATGGGTGTCAGATCCTTACTGGGGGATTCCCAGATGGTGGGGGGAGGGGACAGCACCCACTTTGCCCATGAGAATACTGAGCCTCACACTACAAGTGTTCCTTGATGAAATGGCTAGAGGCTGGATTTGAATCCCTGCTGTTTTTTACTTGCTGGCCACCAGACCTTCAGCAAGTGACTCAAATTCTCTGCTTCAGTTTCCCCAACTACCTCCCAGGGTTGAAGGCAGCACTAACGAGATGAATGGAAGTAAAACACTCACAACTTCACTGGTCCACAGCCAGCGCTTTTTGAGTGTTGGTGATAGATAAACTGTTCTCGGGGCCTGTTTCCCTTTCTGTAAATAGCACTTCATGGAATGTGGACATAGACCAACTATGGGTGGGGTGTGCCACCCAAAGAGGGAGAGATACTCATGCTACAGGAGTCCCTACCCACAGCACCCACCTGCCAGGTCCTGGGAGGGAGGCAGCAAGCTCCTGGAAGGTCTCACGGTACTCCCAGGGACAGTGCCAACTGAGGCAAGGGTCAGGCAGCAGCCCAGCACCAGGCTACCTCCTCTGAGAGTGCCAAAGGCACTGCCTGGGCTCTGGCTTTTTTTGCTTGTCAGCATGCTGGCGCCGGTCAACCTCCCTGCCACCTTCCAACAATGGCCAGTAATGCCCCTTGGCACCAGCGACTGACACCCCCACTGTGGGCACTTCAGCTGTGCCTGGCCAGGGTGCCTGGGATCCCAGCTCTTCCATGTCAGTCTGGCTGGCTCTGGGCAGGACACTGTCTCTCTGTCCCCCAGTCTCCTCTAGGTCTCGGGGATCCCTGGAATCATCTGACACGATCGCTCTGAGCCAGGCCTGGGCAGAGTGACAGGGCTTAATCAATGGAGGCCAGAGAGCCATTTGCCCAAGGTCAGGTTAGCAATGCTGGCAAGAGAGGAGCGGCATGGAGGCAGGCCAAGCTGGGTTCTCATCCCACTGTGGCCCCTCAAAGGCCAGCGAGTCTATTTCTCATCTGAGAAATGGTGTGCATAGGCCCTGCTTCTCAAAGATGTGTGTATAAGCCAGGACCCTGGGTCCTTCCCTGGGTGGAGGGGTACATGCTGAATGCAACAGTGATGTCACCCAAACCCAGCCGGTGTCAAGGCAGTTACAGTCAGCCTCCCAGAGATTCAGAGAGGCTGCACCACTCACCCAAGAGTGCACAGCAGTAGAGACATAGCCTGAATGTGCCAGCCCCTCCCCTGCAGGGGTTTCCTCTTCAGCTCTGGTTTCCAGGTCATCAACGGAGATGGCAAACACTCTTTAGAGAGGGGCTGTGTACCTTACTGGGGCTGTGGTCCTGTATAGCAACACACTTACCCTGTTTTCAGGGGAGGGGAGGAGGCTGAGGTTCACCTGAGGCGGTAGAGCAGGGACTGGAAGCCAGGTTTGGCCAACCTCAATTCTGTGCCTACCCACTCTGGGGACCTCCAAACAGACCCTGAGCCATGCTCACTGACGAAGTCCATTCCTTCAGACTAAGGTGGAAAGGATGGAGAAGCTAGAGCCCTGCCTCCCCCAGAGAGGCCTGCAACTGTAGGAAGGCTGGCCAGGAGCTCGTCGGGGGAGAGGACTAGAGCTGTGGGGGCAGAGGCCTTCCCTCTAAACCACCCTCTTATTATTTAGGTGTATATTCAAAAACATTCAGAGGAAGCTGGAGCAGAGCAGGGAGACGGGAGCCTGCTTACATGCAATTCCTGGGCAGTAGGGATAAACACGAAAGCACACAAGCAAGGCGACCTCAGGTAGGCTCAGAGATCAGAGACAACACAAGAGGTCATGGGACCAGGGCACCAGTGAAGGACAACAGCAGGGGATCTCTCCTGGAGGCAACATGTGAGCTAGAACTTGGTGCCAGGGAAGAGGCAGCCATGGGGAGGGCCGGGGAAAAGGTGCTCCATGTAAGGACAGCATGTGCAAAGGCCCGAAAATGGGGATGCTGATGTGGCTAGAAAGACAACTAAAAGAGAACGTGGTGGGGGGCACCTGGGTGACTCAGTGGGTTGAGCCTCTGCCTTCAGCTCAGGTCATGATCTCAGGGTCCTGGGATCGAGCCCCATGTCGGGCTCTCTGCTCAGCGGGGAGCCTGCTTCCCCCTCTCTCTCTGCCTGCCTCTCTGCCTACTTGTGATCTCTCTCTCTCTATCAAATAAATAAACAAAATCTTTTAAAAAATAAATAAAAAAAATAAAAGAGAATTAGGGAAGATGAGGTTGGGAGGTGGGCGGGGCCTAGAGGACAGTTGGTTTTGCGGAGAGGGCAATGGGGAGCCTTGGGCAGACTGAGAGCAGAGCCTGGGCAGGAATTACAGGAACGAACCTCAGGCTTCCCCAGAAATGGGCTGGCATCACCCACCTCCCATGAGACAGATGATGACACATGAGGCTCACAGGGACTGCAGAATGCCCCAAGGTCACATGGGTGGCAGAAGTCAAAGCGGGGCAGCCTGGATCAGGTGCAAGAAAATTCTACATGCTGGGTGTGTTCCCAGTGGGGGAAATCAGGGAGAGGTGACCGGGTTAGAGGTTCATGTCAACCCCCCAGAGCTGGCAGGGCCCTCCCAGCCAGGAGTGGGGAACAGTTTGCCACCAAGGGGAGCTAGGACCCGGGTGATGCCACACACACCCCCAGCTACTTGCCCAGCCATGGAAACCAGAAGCCTTCTAGGAAGGGACTTGAGCTGATATTAAGGACCAAATTTAGGTCCTCCTTGAGCTAGGGGAGATGTATGACAAGCAGTGGACTGGGTGTTTCAAGAGAGGTTGGGTACCGCGCCTGGAGCCCAGCAGAACTCTTGAAGCTAACCACCCAATTGGGCTACATGGGATGCACAAGCTGCAGGGTGACCACGGCACGACCCCCAAGTGTAAAGGCAGAGGAGCGCTGGGGTTTGCTAAGCACAGCTGCTTGGGGACCCCCAGAACACTTTGGAGGTACAGTGGGTATTTCAGGCAGTAACACTGATGTCCATACTACAGATGGGGAAACTGAGGCTCAAAGAAGGAGGCAGACTTCCCAAGCCGCCCAGCGAGCAATGACCTCAAGCAGCCGGGCAGACAAGTACAGGACAGTCCTTCGAGGGTGACTGAGGTGGTGAAGCTAAGACGGTCGGGTGCCTCCCACATGCCCAGCTCTTCCTGCACACCCCACGGAAGGGGGCTCTATTGCTCCCCCCTCCCCATTTCACAGAAGATCAGATCAAGGCTTAGACAGAATACGTCGCTAGCTCAAGGCCACAGAGCTCAGTGAGACATAATCAGAAACAGTGGCCGTGGGGCTGAGACCCCAGGTATGAACCATGGCCCCAGCAGACCATATATCCCAGGTGGTTCTCAAAACCCCTTTGCTTTCCTCAGCGACTCCATGGCCTCCCCAGACATCTGCCCCTCTCCCACTCTCTGAAGCCATGGAGGCAGCACCCATACTCCGTTGCGCTATGGAAGAGATCCCTCCGTTGTTAACTAACAGAGTCTTTTATTACTGGGCAGTACTGGCTGGCCTGGGACCCCTGGAGGCAGCAGAGCTTGGTCCCTGCTCTCTGTCCAGCAGAGCAAGACACCTACAAACCATATTATAAGTAAGAGACGAGCAGGGGAGAGAACAGACTTGTAGGAACCGAAGCAGGGTCCCCACCCTCCTGTGAGACTGGCCAGCGTGGATCCCACATTTCAGTTAGCACTTTGCCCCCAAGCAATACTAAGGGCCCTCCTTTTGGTAGGAAAGGGCACAGGGTGGTGGGGTTGGGAGGGCAGGACGGGTAACAGCAATGTGGTCAGCTGGCCTGGAGAACAAGGCGAAAGGAGGCCAGGGCCCAGGGGCTGCTCTCTGCTGTGTAGACGCTTCACCATGGTTCCCTTCCCACCCCAGCCTGTACCTGGTGACCATCAGAAAACACCTGTCACTGAATGGGTGAGGAATCCGGGGAGTAGAGTGACAGGACATGGACCTCTTCCCTGTTCCTGAGTCACATAACTCACCCAGAGCCATGGCCCAGACTGAGCCTGAGGTCACGGTGCCAGGTTGCCCTTCTGGCCAGTCCACAGCTCTCGCAGCTCAACACGGCAGCCAAGGTCCCGAAGGGCAGCCTTGGCCACGTCCTCGCAGTCACGGTGGGCAGCTCGGGCCTGCAAGATGAGTGCTTCGGCCCCCAGGTCCAGGATGGGCTGTGAGAAGGCCTGGCTGCGGGCTACCAGGTTACGGATCAGCATGCAGGCCTGTTTCTGGGAGGAAGAACTGAAGGTGAGTGGCGGTGTGCCGGTGGGTGGGGTCCACTCTGACCTCAGTGCCCCCTCATCATAACATAACAGGATAAAGGTGACCACGGTCAAGGTACAGTAGGTGCCTACACTGTGTGACTTATCAGGCTAGATTCATTTCTCCGCTTTATCCTCTCAGCTGCCGTGGGAAGCAGGGCTAATTCCCCGATCTCCCAGGTGAGGAAACAGATGCTCAGGGCAGTCAAGTACTTGGCAGGTGCGGCTGATCCCTCAGGTATGGGACCCTCAGCCTCAGGGCAAGATTTCCCCGTGGCTGGCAAGAGCCTGGGCAGGGACCCCAGGAAAGGAGAGCTGAAAGACAGTGGGAAGAGGGGGTTGTGCACAGGGCCCACCTGTCAATTACATCGTCAAGCGTTCATCAACACCTGTGCCCTGCTTATCTGCTGTGTGTGGGTGCCACAAAGCACCCCACCATTAGGAAACTAGAAGAGAAGTAGGTGGGGTGTGAGAGGCTGCCCAGCCAGGGTGGTGAGGGGTGAGCAAGGTGATTGGTGAGCCAAGGGCAGTGTTCCCGAGGAGACACCATCCTGAAGAGGGAGGCAAAGACCCATAGTGGGACAGAGTCTGGTATGTCTGAAGACCAACAAGGAGGCCCCTGGGCTGGGAGGGCACTCGAGGTGGGAGTCAGGGAGGCAGGGAGGCAGGGAGAGCCCTGGAAACTACAAGGAAGTGTGTGGGTTTCAGGCAGGGGCGCATGCAGCCCCGTCTACTGCTTAGCTTCACTGACTCCCCAGTAAGGTACAGACTGTGGGTCCCACGTGCTGAACATGAAGGAGCAGCCCACGGACGGCAAGGAACCTTCCCGAAGTCCCAGAAGATCCCCACCTGCTCTCCTCCCATCTCCTCCTCTTCCTATCCCTCTGAAGGAACTGTTAGGAGAGGAAAAGATCAATGCTGGAAGAGCAAAGGAGCAGGAAGACAGCCGAGGACAGAACTGGGTGCATTCTCAAGGATGGGAAGTAGATAACCTTCGGAGCTGGGAAGGAAGAAGAATTGGAGAGAAGTGGGCTAGGCTGGGGATGAGGACAGGGACAGGGAGGGCCTGGGTCTGCCCCGCCCTCCTGCCCCCAGGCCCACCTGCACTCCAGCCTCCGCAGGGTGCGCCTTCATGGCCCGCAGTGCTACCCGGGCGCCGCCACCTTCCATGATGACCCGGCTGTTCTCTGGCTTCCGCAGGGCCAGGACGCACAGGGCCGCACAGCTCTGCTCGCATACCTGTGGGGGTCACGGGGACAGCAGAGACAATCAGATGCCCATTACCCCGAGGGCCCTCCGTGGCCACCACTGTTAATTCCCCAGGTGAGTGCCCTGCAGTTTCCCCTAGAGAGTCCGCAGCCAGCCCGCGTATATACCTGATCAGTAATAACAGGGATGATAAAAACCTCAACCACACGCTTAGGGAGGATGGTCTCAACTGAGGCCTCTCACAGGCCCCACCCTAGCCCTGCTTGAGGAAATGGGGCAGAGCACCAGGTGAACCCAAACACTGAGCTGGGACTCTAGCCACTGTGCCCCACCGGGTGCGCCCCCTGCCCGGGGTAGGTACCTGGGGACTGGCCAAGTGCTGGGTCATGGCGGCCACAATGGACTCTGTCCCGCCAGCTCGGACAATCGCGTCCTTCACATCATCATTGCCTGCGATGGCCCGCAGGGCACTCAACACTTGCTTTACAACGTCCTATGGGGGTGGGGGGAGGTGGGGGTCAGCTCTGGCCAGCTCATCCTCCTGTGCTGGGCCAGACACTAACTGCTTGGTGGCGGGTTGGGGGGGGCGGGGGGGGGGTAGTCTTGAGGAGGGTCTGTTGTTCCACAGTCCGAAAAACAGGTGGGGCCACCCTGGGGCACACATGGAGCCAGTAAGGGCAGGGGAGGCTCAGAGAGGTGGAGCCTGTGAATTAGTCCACCTGTGCCTAGCCCAGGTGTCTGGACAACCTGGACACCCACCCCTCACGCACACAGGCGGGCATGTGGCTCAGGCCAGGAATCAAAGCATAGGGTCCCCTGGCCATAGCTGAGTCCCCAGGTCCTGAGCTGAGGACAGCTGACCAGATGCTGCTGGGACTGCCAACCGCCCTGCTGAGGGGCAGAGCCATAAAAGAGAAAGCAGTGGGAGGGAAACCAAGCCTCCATCCACTGCCTGGCTGTCCAGGAGTACAAACAAAATGCATTCCCTCATGTGCTTAAGCTGGTTCAAATTCAGCTTTCTGCCATGTGTCCAGAAGGAGACTGGCTGATATCACCAGCTGGGGCTGGGGCCAGCAGGACCGTTGCTGCCACAGGACAGGGAGGTACTCCCACCCTAGGTCAGGCATGTAGAAAGGGGGTTAAGTAGCTGCTAAATGAAAGAATAATGAAGAGGAGGCCCCACCCCATTTTATAGATGGGGAAACCAAGGCACTAAGGATTTGCCTCACCCAAGTATCACACTCCTGAGCTGGGAGCTGGGCCAGCCCCTGCCAACACCCAATGGCATTCCTCCCACTGTTGGTAGAAAATACGAAGGTGTTAAAGGTCAGTGAGAGAGGGTGGATGGATTTGTTTTCCCCCAAAACTTAACTTCCTGACCAGGGGTCAATGAGAAGTGAAAACTGCACTTTGCTTCCAGGGTCAGCAGACAGGGCCAGTGTGTTCTGATTCAGGCTGGTCTGGGTGGCTGGGGCTCAAGGGGGCAGAGTTCACTGGGAGGTCTGGAACCTTCCTGCGGCATCAAGAGAAATGATAAATCGAAATCCAAGTGAAGGGCGCTTCACACCCTAAGACGGCTTGGACACCCACCTGGTGGTCGCTGCAGTTGGCCAGTAGGGCCACCAGGACACCGAGGCCCCCAAGGTCGACGACCTCCTGGCAGAATTCATTGCGGACGGCCAGGCGGGATAGGGTGCTGCAGAGCTCACTCAGGACACTGGGGTTGTCAGAGAATGCTGTGGAGAGGGAGGGAGAGGAACCATTGGGGCGAGGACATGGAGAGAACCAGTCCCAGCTTGGAACCAGGAGCCAGCAGTCGTGGTACAAATCCTGTTCCACCTGGGAAGTGGGGCCCTTCTGCCCAGCAGGCGGGCCACACACACCAGGAGAGCCCCACTGAACACCAGGGCTGCCAGGCCTGGAGTGCCCCCTGCTGGCCGCAGGAGAAGACAGCCAAACACGCCCTCCCCCACACTGTGTCCCAGATAAATTCCAGACCAACTGATGATCCCAACTAAAAAAAGAAAACCATAATAGTGCTATAATAAAACATCCAAGACTATTTTTATGTTCTTGGGGTGGGAATGACCTTTCTAAGTGCAACGGGAAACCCAGAAACTGTAGAGTGACATATGGATAGAGCGGACCTAGGTAAAATTGAACACAGATGCCGAAGACAAAGCTCAGAGGCCCTAGGGAGGAGAGGCCTGTGCTGAGGCTCAGATGGGGGTGGGGTGGTGGAGAGTGGAAAGGTGGAGGGTGGACAGCCCTAATTTATACAGAGCTCCGTGACAGTCAGCTGGTATGTCTTCCTGGTCGGGGTGCAGCCCCAGCAATGCCGGAAGCACTAATCTGGGTGGAGGAATTCTCTAGATGTGGTGACATCTGTGATCAGCTGACTTCAAGATGAACCCTCATGGTCTGACTGGGCCTCATCCAGTCAGCTCAAGGCCTTAAGAGGGAAACTGAGGTCTTCCTGAAGAGGAAGAAGCTCACTGGAGGATGGTGGTGTTGGCTCCTGCCCAAGCTACTCCGTGGATTTCAGACTCACCAGCCCCTCGGCCACATGAGCCAATTCCCTGAAACACACATGCACACACACACACACCCCAATGGCTCTGCTTCTCTGGCAGAACCCAGACTAATAGGAGCTCCTGTCAACAAATGAGAGAGATGTAAACTCCCCCTCAGAAAAGGAGCTCGACTTCACAGATGGCTGGACTGTTTTCACTTTCTCCAGAGGTATGAGACTGAGGTAGTAGGCTCGCCCTTCCAGAAGACGGCCAGAGGCACACAAACAAGACTAGCTATAGGGCCAGAGCTACAGGCAGGCTGGGAAGAACTCATTCTTCTGTCACCTTCCGTGCACCAGACCACAGTCAGGCCTTTTCTAGTGGGTACAATGGATGGGGACAGGGAATTTTGGGTCTGAACATCAGTGCTGTGGTCTCCCACGGCTGGCTTGTCTTGGTCATCCCAGTTGGGAACGTGTACGTGCATAACAATTTGAGGCTAAGTATGAACCAAACTGTAAACCTTCAATGGGGACCAGACACACTCCCCCATTTTTGGGAAACACCCTTATTTGTCCCTTTGGGGAGCTCTCCTTTCCATGTACTCTCAGTCTGTGTGGCTGAACAGAGCCAAGCCCTTTCCTCAAATGGCTCCAGAGATGTGCACAAGATTTGGTCTTGGCCAATGAGACCTGGCTGGGAACTCACCTAGAGCAACCAGGAGTAAGGAACTATTCCATTAGGGGGGGGCATGTGGGTGGTAGTAAGCCAGAAGAGGCAAGTGGAGCCTGGGGCCAGCCATGCCTGAAGCCATCCTAAAACCCAACTCTCATTCTCACACCTGCTCCTACCTTTGGCGGCCTCAATGAGTACCTTCAAGCCTCCATTCTCCTGCACAATCATCTTGGCATGGTCGTGGGCATGGCCAAAGGGCACACGGATGTCATCATCGAAGGTCATGACTCGGAGGGCCCAGCAGGCCTCCCTGACCACGTCGGCACGGTGACCATGCCGGGTAATGGCACCCGTCAGCAGAGGCAGCACACCGGCCTTCACCAGGCTCTGCCGATTCTGCTCGTGCTTCAGGCTGGCATGGCACACACAGCGGATGCCAGAACATGTCAGATCAGCCGCGTCGGCATTCTGGGCCAGTGTGACCACCAGCAGCTGCAGGCCCTGGGTGTCTAGGAGATCAGGCTGGCCATCGGTCAGGGCTGACAGGGCGTTGAGGGCCTGGAGCAGGAGGCCCTGGTCGCTTGCTACAGCAAGCTTCCAGGCGGCGAGAAGGATGGGGTAGGCCCCCTTCTGGGCTGCCAGGAAGCGGCTCGCCTTGTGCTGCTTGCACTGCTCCAAAAAGCGGGTGAGGTGTGTGGATACTTCCTGGGGGTGAGAGCAGGCCACGGACTCCTGCAAGTCATCCAGGGCCTAGAGGACATGGGAGAGACTTCAGTGTCAGCTCAGCCCAAAGAGGTTCTATAGCAACAATGCCCCCGCGGCCTCCCCCACCGTCAGATCCCCCTTCCGGGGACCTAGGCCTGTGGTGGAAATGCAGTCCAGCCGTGGTAGCTTCCACATATGGGCTTCTAGGAGCTTCGAGCTCCAGAGGTCACACAGAGATGGAGAGACCCAGCTATCTCAGGGTCCCTCCATGGAGCCACACACGTGAGCGCAGGCACAGTCAACGCTCCAACCCTAGCTGCCATTGCAAGAGGCTCTCTAAGCAAGACCCGTGGAACCATCTGGCTGAGCTCAGTCAAACCATAAGGAACAAGAAAATGGCCGTTGTTCTGAGTTGTTTACCATGCAGCTACAACTAACCGACATACCAGTGGCCACAGTCAAACCATAAGGAACAAGGAAATGGCCGTTGTTCTGAGTTGTTTACCATGCAGCTACAACTAACCGACATACCAGTGGCCACCTCTCCAAGGAAGGTGAAAGTTACCTTTGCCAGACCGGCCCCTACCAGATGTCTCCTGTTTGTCTCTCCCATCCATTCCACAAACGTTTATCTGCCAAATGAAACCACACCATACACACTGTTGATTTACCCAAATTCAACTCAAAGCCCTTGGGGGAAAAACAGTAATAATGAGAGGAAACGATTTGAAAAGAGCATCCAAGTCTAGCTGCCATTCAATTCCATGACCTCCAGATCTGCCTCAGCAATGAGCCCAAGATGAACCCGAGCCTCCTAGGACTTACGAAATCACTGGTCCCTGGCCCTAGGGAGGGCAGCTCTACAGACGCCATCAACCCAATGCAGAGGGCTGGGATTTGGCCACCACTGCTCTGAATGGCAAGGATGCCAGTTGGCTCACCGTCCCTGAGCTGGACTTAACTGAGGATATGTTGCAATGACACAGAAAATTAATAGGCCTAAAGCAGAGAATGTGCCTCGAATGGACATTCACCAAAGAAAATATACTGGTGGCCACTATGGCGACAAAAAGATGGTCCACGTCGCTAGTGGTTAGGGAAATACTCGAGAAAGTAAATATACAATTACCACGTGATCCAGCAATCCCACTTCCAAGGATATACCCCAAAGAACTGAAAAGAGTCTTAAAGAAATGTCTGTATATCCGTGTTCACAGCAGCATTAATTCTGGGAGACGAAAGCTAGAAGCAACCCAACTTTCCATCCATGGATGAATGGATAAACAGACTGTGGTCCATCCACGAGATGGAATATTATTCGGCCATAGCAAGGAACAAAATTCTGACCCAGGCTCCAACATGGATTAACCCTGATGACATTACGCTGAGTGAAAGAAGCCAGCTACTAAAGGACAAACTCTGTGATTGCACTTAGAAGAGTCCCGAGAGGAGTCCCATTCAGAGGGACGGGAAGGAGAATGCTGAGTGACAGGGTTAGGGGAGGGGAACAGGAAGTTAGTGTTTCATGGGGACAGAGTTTCAGTTTGGGAAGATGAGAAAGTCCTGGAAATGGCTGGTGGGCGATGGTTCCACAACAGTGTGAAAGTACTTTGTGTCACTGAACTGTACACTTAGAAATGGTTAAGATGGTGAATCTGTGTTATATTTTACCACAAACCCAAAGCAGAGGATGGAGCATTTGAGCAGGAACTTGGCAAGAAACCTGAAAAGCGGTGGCCCAAGTGCCATTAAGACGCACAGTGCTGGAGTTACAACACTCTGGATTTAGTCAGGTGAGAGAGGAAAAGATAAAGGGCACAAGCTGCACACTAGTCTCTATCCAGTTTGTCGGAATCTCCTCTTGCCCAGGATGGCATCAGGAAGGTGAGTCTCTGCGCTGGCTGGCTGAGACAGTGGTCTTCATCGCCCCTAGGTGCTGCCTGAGACCCCAGACCCTGTGGGTGGCTGAGGAGAGGATAGTCACTGAAATGAAGGTGGCAGAGTCAGCTGTGCCCCACCTGTGACACCTCGGCCTGATGATGGGGGCTTTGTCCACTAACCCGGGAGTTCATTCTCTCTATGGCTGATGGCTTGGATTCTGACACTCCTCGCATATAAAACCAGTCCGGCTTGTTTTCTCCTTGGTGTTCCAAGACTTTTTGGTTTTGTTTCTGCAAGTTTGTGTGCAACAAACTTCCTGACGCTGGTAGACTCATTTCAAAAGACATCAGCAGAGTTGAATTTTTCCCCCACAGCTAAGCATTTTTCACACGTCGGAGTCGCAGCAGCAGCAGAGGTCAATGCTGCCATGGCAAGAGAAGGGGCTGGTTCAATTGCAAGGTGAGAATAAGGGCGGAAGGATATGAAACCCAAAGCGTGTGATGCCTCCCACACAGGAAGGGAGAGAAGGGGTTTGGTGGGAAAGAAGGGGACAGGGCCTTTCAGATTTTGCTATAAATGCTTGAGTACTGCTTGAATCTTTTATGCCAAGAACATATTCACATTCTTCTTCAGTAATGAAAAATAAAATTAAAAGTCAAATTAAGAAGAATAAAAAAGTGAAGGTTGTAAACAAAAGGAGTTTTCTGTACTGATGGTAGAAAACAACAGAGGTGTTCCCAGCTTGATTTCCCTGGGAGAGGGACCTGGGTCTGGGTCCTAGCTCTACCCTTCACTGGCTCGACCACATGTGAGTCATTTATCTTTTGGAAGCCTCAGACTCCTAATCAGCAAAATAGGCTAACAACAGATTGAGATAATATGTTTTAAGGATTTAGCACAATGCTGAGCACTTAAGAAGTGCTCAGTGATTCTTAGAGACTATTGTTACTGAGACCCTTCATATGTAAAGGGCACCTACAAATCAATGAGAACGAGATGAACAACCCAATAAAAAAACTGCCAAGACAACAAACACATTTCTTACTAGCAAATAAGTCAAAACAATGAGGTAATTTTCTCAAAATCTCTGTGAGGCTGGAGATAGTGAGGACCCTGAGAGCAGAGAGAAGTAAATACCTTGCCTTAGGCAGAGCTGGGTTCATACCCAGGGCTGTGTTCTCCAACTTCCTCTTTTGTCACTATATTCACTTGCTGTCAGGTAAATCATTGCTTTTGTCTTTGGATTACCCATCCTTAAAATGGGGGTAGTAATCCCCACCTTGCAAGGGTCTTGAGAGAACAACTGAGACAGCACAAAGAAAGCGTCTTGCACAGAACTGACTCCACAGTCAGTTCTCAATAAACTATAGCCTTTTGCCTTTTTACCAACAGCTTATCATTGTTTAATAGGTGACCTGAAGGATGGCATATAATCTCTGTGACCTTTACCTTCTTTGTCTGTGTGCTGGAGAGTGAGGGTAGGCTCTGGGCCTCTGTTTGCCCATCAGTAAGTCAGGAGGGATGACAACACCCACCTCACAGGCCAGTTTTCGTGCTAAAGGGGCAGGCTATATAGTGTCCTGCTGAACAGTCAGTGCTCCACAGGTGGTGGCCTTACTGTGATGCCACGCTTTCTGTAATTCCTATTCATCTTTGAGCAGACTTAGCGGTTGGGAGGGTCCTCCTGAAAGGTTTCTCCATGGTGCCCTCTCTCCCAAGGCTGCCAACACTGAGGACAACCTGAGTGTTGTCCATCCCAAAAAGGACACTCAAATGTGGACTCAGGGAACCCTGGCTGCAAGCTCGGGCTCCCGTGTACACGTTGGGTGCCTGCCCTTCAGAACTAGCATCTGTCATTTAGGAACCAGTGGAAAGGTGCCCCTAACAGACTGTTCAATGGTGACGTGTGTGAAACCACATGTGTAAGGTCAGCCGTGCCCACACAGGGCTTACGAAATCACTGGGCCACTCCCTCCTACCTGCAGGATGTCGTGTGTAGGTTCCTGGGGTCCATCTGCAGAGACTTTGGGTGCCATCTTTATAATGTTGCTCAGATCAACCCCTGCGGGGGGGCGGGGTGGTTTAGGAAACAAGTGACAGCCATCATCCCCATAGGCCTTCCAGAACATACACATGTCCCTTCTTCTGGAACCACCCCACTCTGGAGGCCTTTGGGGGTCTGCTCAGCTCCCCACCCTAACCCCCTCCTTACCAGGGCCACATTCATACATGGGATACAGGATATGGGGAGGGTGGTCTTTGCCCCTGGGCCCTGTCCAGCCAATGGGAGCAGAGCAGTTGTGAGGCTGCAGGTCATCACTGCAGTGAGGGACGTGTTCTACTTGGTGGGCTAAGAGGGGAGGGGACCCCACAGCCTTTTCCCTTGGGGCTCCCATTGTTCTTCACCCTGGCTGCACCCCCACCCTCCCTGACACCCCCAGGAGAAGCTTGCACTGCACAAGACACATGCGGGTACTCCTCCAGTCCCTGGCCAGTATCTATATCCCACTCTGTGCCAGGGACACCAGCCTCTGACATCTGAGGCTGGACCCCCTGAGCCCTTGCCCTCTTGAGTCTGACTGGGTTTGGCCAATGGGAAATAGGACTTCAGATCAAAAGGAGTGGGAGGGTGGGGTATTTATTCCCAGCTCCCTGCCTCTGCCTCTGCCAGGTGACTCGCCAATCCCAGCCATGGCCTGTTGTGGGGCCGGGGAGGTCCCTGCTATGGCCAGCAGGATCTCCTAATCCTGGCAACACCACTATAAATAGTCCCCTCCTAACCACTGTCCCCCATAGCCTATTTTGAAAATGCCACAGCTGGTGACCAACCCTCCATGAACTCAGGCTGGAGTGATGGTGAGGCAGGGAGGCAGGTGGCCCTGTTTCTTGGGAGGCAGTCAGGAAAAGCCTCTTCAAGGAAGTGGCAATTAAAAAAGAGACCCATCTGGAAGGATTCAGCCCTGCAGATGTCTGGGTGGGGTCAAGGCAAGTATAGGGAGGATAAGAACAAAGTGGGAGGAAGCCGCCAGCCTGCTCAGGGCGGGGCCCAGGGCTGCCACAGGAGGCATGACAGAGCCATGGCGGGAAATCATTCTCACACCTTGAAAGCTGGGGACTGGAACTGACTTTCGGCCAAAAAGCCAGATCAGCGCTGGGCCTGGCCACAGTGCCTTACCTTGTGATTCAAATTGTTCCACGGCCTCTTTTACTGCCTCCTCTGGCCCCATCTCGAACTCTTCAATGTTTTCACGAACGGCTGCATCGAAGGTCTCCTGGGTGATGCGCTTGGCGGACATCTTCATCTCCTGCTCATGGGGCGGCAGGTGCCCACCTGACAGACACTCTCAAACTGAGAAATCAAGACAGGAAGAAAGCTTCATGGAGGGTGAGATGATAACCGTGAGCCTGGCTATCACTTAGGGAAGAGTGACCAAGGGCCAAAGCCCAGGACCTCCCAGGAAAAAGTCTTACAAGCTGGGTCACAGGGAAGGCTGATACCCCAGCACCTGCACAGCCTCTAGAAGGGCAGAAGAGGGCAGATAGTTGACATTTTATCTAAGAAAGAGAAAATGTTAATACATGTCCTTTTAGTTAACAAAGAATAAAATAATAGTTTAATAATATTACAGGTTATAAGTTGTTACGTGATCATAATGAAATAACATGGTTATAATGCCACATTTTACATGTGTTATTGACGATATGCCATATTTGTCGTAATATGTAATACAAGAACTATATGGCATTTTATTATATAGTTTAGGTATTTCATATGTAACTATGTAATAAAACTACTTACAATGGTATGCTGTTATACCAACAAAAGTTTCAAAATAAAAATTAATTATAATAAAGTGGAATGCTAAATCAAAAACTAATAGAAATAATTACCATAAGGGGAGGTAGGAAAAAGAGGGATGAGGCCAGGACTAGAAGCTGCATTATTTTCTTCAAATGTACTTTGTTTCATGGTTGTTGTTGTTGTTATTGTTGTTGAAGATTTTATTTATTTATTAGCGAGAGAAAGAACAAGCGGGGGAATGGCAGGCAGAGGGAGAAGCAGGCTCCCCTCTGAGCAAGGAGCCGGATTCAGGACTCAATCCCAGGACCCCGGGATCATGACCTGAGCTGAAGGCAGACGCTTAACCGACTGAGCCACCCAGGTATCTCATTTTGCTGAAAACTGGCAAATAAAGAACACAGCATTCATCCTACTTCCTAATTACCGGATTATAAAGACAGGAAAAGGAAAAGTTCTGTTTTGTAGATGAATTCCAACAAATTATGCACAACAGGCCAGATTTAGATGATAGTCCCCATAGGCCGTAAAACTGTGAGGAGTGAAACTGATGGGGAACGTGACAATGAGAGGACTGTACCCTCATCCACTGTGTGATTTCACATCGCCAGAAGAGAAACCCAACACTACCTGCCTCCAGACAGGAATGAAATGTACCTGTGAAGTCCTTTTGCCAAAAACTCAAACCCAATCTGACAATGGATCCAATAGAACTTTCTGTGAAGATGGGATATTCTCTATCTGTGCCATCCACGTGGGTTCTAGCACTTGAAATATAGCTAGGGTGACGGAGGCACTGAATGTGTACTTTTTATTTTTTGTAAATTGTATTTATTTATTTTTTGTTTTAAGTAGGCTCCACGCCCAGAGTGGAGCCCAACATGGGGCCTGAAGCCACAACCCTGAGATCAAGACCTGCTGAGATCAAGAGTGGGCTGCTTAACCGACTGAGCCCCCCAGGCGCTCCTACCACTCTCTCTTTTCAACAAAGCGGGAAACGGGCCTCAGGCCTAGAGCCTAACAGGGGTTAACAACTCCTTTCATTTTGCTTCTTTTACTATATCTACTTTGTTTACTGGAGTAATATTAAGTTTCTGTTACAATACATCACTTTTTAAATTTGTAACAGAGTTTCAAGAATAGTACAAAGAACACTTATTTCCCTCTAACTTTACCAGTTGTTAATATTTTGCCAAGTTAATCTCTGAGAGAGTGTGTTCCTGCACACACATGTGCCATGTGAGAATATGCTCCAGGAATCAGATCCTTCCCTCTGAAAGATGTCAGCATGAATCTCCCAAGAAAAGGGCACTCTCACACATTCAATGTACAACGAAAATTTAACACAGGAGATTTAACAGTGATACGTTACTATTTTCTAATATACACTCCATGACCAACTTTCTCAATTATACACTCCATGACCAACTTTCTCAATTGTCCTAAGGCTGTCTTTCAAAACAATTATTTTTCCCGTCCCAGGTCTGTTAAAGAATCGTAAATCACAGAAAATGTAAGGGGAACAAAGGCACAGGGAGTACTAGGACAGCAGGAAGGGAATGTGGCAAAAGTCCAAGGGCAGATTTGGGCTATATGGGAAACAGGCCACTCAAGCCTGTGCTTCTCTTTCTGGAGGTGGCACAGGAAGTGAAGACTCCATTTGCATTTGTGCAGATGTTTTGGGGGAGGAGGAGGACAGGCTCTGGGGCCAGCAGTGGCGACTTGAATCCCAGGCCCTTCACCTAACCTCACTGTTGGTCAACTCTCTTGTGTGACATGGGGATAAACAAAGAGAATCTACCTCATAGGACTGTAGTGACATTTCAAGCATACAATCCCTATAAAGTGCTTAAATAGGATTTGGCACAGAGTAGGAGCTCAATAAACATTAGCTGTTGTTCCTTTCCTTTGCTGTCTAGAAGTAATTCAACAAGTTTAATTGTGGGGAGAGGCAGAAGGGCATCAAACACCTCACCTTGCTCCCTTGCGGATAGCCCCCCTACTTCTTTCTGCCCCAGAAGAACAAGGATCCCTTTAGGGGTTGCTAAGGATTTCCATGGTCAAAGGTGAAGGAAAAAAAATAAGGATTTTGTTTCAATAAAGAGCTTCTCAGTGAGGCACCCAGGCTGGTATGTGTGTGGGGTGTTCCCGACCAGTTTCGAGGGACAGGAACTTCCTAGCTGGGGCTGTTGGAAGGATTCTGTTCCTGACTCTGCCACCAAATGATGCTTCCACCACCCCAGCCATGCTTCAGACCTGAGTGGGCCAACAGTGAGTGGCCACACTATCACAGCAACACAGTCCAAAAGGCAAATGTCAATTATGCCTACTTTATGGATGAGAAATCTGAAGCTCAGAGAGGGGAAGAACCTGCCAGAGATCACACACAGTAAGAGGCCTGGCCATCATGTCACCCTGCTTCATTAACACTTCCCTCCACCTGGGTTCTCTGCAGAGTGTCTGCTAGCTCTTCCAGGATTCCTCCTCCTGGGTGCCTTCCCTGACCACTTAGAACCTGTATGTGCTTTCTGGCCTTGGCTCCGCTACCCCATGAACCTTCCTCTACCCAGTCCTGAGCTTAGGAGATCAATGTCTGACTCTGGGAACCCCCTCTACGGCAAGTCCTACAGGGGTCCTCTAGGTTAGGCACGAGCCTAGGTGGCAGAATGAAAGTACGTATCTGGAGTTCATGAGAAAGACGGTGCCTAGGAATGGTCGTCTGGGAGCCACCTGGGAACAGTCCAGGTTAGGAAAGGGGAAAAACAGCATTACCAGTCCCCATGATAGGAGCAAGGTGTCCTGGAGAAAAGAAAGGGAGTTAGCAAGACCTCAAATGACAGCCGGTTTCCCTTTCTAAGCCAGGATTCCACTCACTGAGAAAACGGTGCCCTGACATAGCAGGGACTCTATCATCTTCCTCCACCCGACAAAACCACCCTGGTTCAGGTACAGTCCTAAGGGCAGTCTCACCAGGTTCCTCCCTGCCACACTCTGTACCTCTATTCTCCACTCAGCAGGCAGGGAGAAAGTTGAAATCACAGAGACCTCACTGCTCAAAATCCTGCACTGGCGTCCCAACCCTCTCAACAAAATCCAATCTACTTACCAGCACTTTCTCTACATGGACCTTACCTAGGTCTCTTACCTAGATCTTCTCACCTGCGCATCCCAGCCAGCCAAAGGACGCTCTTAATAACCACTGTGGTTAAAGCAGCCCCACCCTCCTATCACATCATCCTTTTTGAGTACTGTATCTACCTGGAGCGACATGTCCATTTATCTTATTTCCTTTTACTGTCTAGCCTCCCCCCCCCCATTAAAATTTAACCTCCACGACAACTGGGGCTCAATTAACTTTGTTAACCACCTTCCCCCCCTGCCCAGGATGGAGTCAGACACGCAGCAGTCACTCAGTGCATAGGTTATGAATGAATGAATGAATAATGAAAAGAAATGAATGAATAAATGAATGAAAAAAGAGCGGAGGCCAGGGAAACAGGGATTTTGTTCCCTGGCGGCTTCTGTAAGAGTCATTCCCCAAAATCAAGTCCCCGAGGGCGGCGCCACAGTCACCAGCCCGACCCCGCGGTGCCCACTCCCCTCCCCGCGCGAGGGAACTCCGCAGCCCCCGCTTCTCACCCGGTTTTCACAGCCACGTGGGGAAAGGGTGGGGCTCCCTACTGTCACCGGCAGAACCACCTCTGGTCCCTTCCGGCCACCGTACGGGCGCAGGCGCGCTGGCGCCAACTCGCCTCGGCCTCCCTCAGCTCCACGGACCGCTCCCGGAGAGATCAAGAGTGACCGCGAGCGCAGGTAAAAGCCGAAAGAGCCAACAGGTGTGCAGCGGCGGCGTCTTTGGTGCGTTTTCCCGGCCGCTTTCCGTTGCCGCGGCTCTCAACAAATTAATCTTTCGCTTCGGGAGCGTCTGCCCTGAGAAGCGAGCAACGCGCCTGCGCAAGAGAACTTGGCGGCGGCCGCCTGCGCCTGCGCATCAGGGCTCGGCGGCAGCTTGCGCCTGCGCGGCGCGGCGCTGCGGAGACCGTTGGCTCATTTGCATGTCCCCGCCTCGCGCGGCGGCGGCGGCGGCGGCGGCGGCGGCGGCGGCGGCGGCGGCGGGTGAGGAACCTGAGGCGGCGGCGGGGGCGGCTCCGCGCGCGGTGGGTTCGGGGTGAGGCCTGGGCCCGGGCGTCGTCGGTGGGCGGGCCCCCGGGTGGGAGGCCCGGGTTCCGCTCCGGGGCCCCGGGGCCCCGCGATGACGCCGCGAGCTCGGCCCTCGGGCTGCGCGCCGGCCGCGTCCCCGCCTGCTCGGCCTGGGGGGCGGTCTTCGGCCTCCCGGGCCCGACGCCCCCTTGTCTTCGTTCTCGGAGGCCGGTAGGAGGCGGGCCACGCCCGAAAGGGTTCATTCGTTCATTCATTCCACCCGAGCCCAGAGCAATTCCGTTCGTAGGGGGATTACTGCAGCCGACCGCTGTATCGGGCTCTTGACCATTTTTCACCCGGTTCAATCCCCACAACAGCCCCCACCATTAGCTGCCCATTCCATGGATGGGGAAATAGAGGCGCAAAAAGGTTCGGTCACTTGATTTGATTCGGAGCCGCCTGACTGGGGACCCTGTCCTTCGACAGCGGAGAACAAGGGGCGCCCCAGGAAAAGGGTTTAGGGATGAGAAAAGGGGATGATGGTAATAAGAAATGGCTCGAAGGAAGGGCAGGTTTGGGTCTTGAGGTTGGAGGTTTCAAGACGGAAGGGGTATTTTGGTTAAGGACGCAGCCACCGGTTTCCTGAGCGTTGCTTCTCAAGTCTTTTTCCAGTCAGTCTTCAGGGCTTTGTCCCCAATACCAGTGCCCTGTTTTCCAGGTTCCGGTCTGGGCTCTCTGACCTTGGGTGGGTCACTTAGCCCGAGTCTTTCTCTTTTTCTGAATTCTGTCATTCATAACAGGACCCACTTTTCACTGGGTTGTTGGAAAAACTAAAGGGGATTGTGAGAGTCCCTTTCCTCCGAGAGGACCTGGTACAGAGCAAGCTCTGTCACTAGCCAGGGATTCCTCCACTCACTTGTTGAGAGGCAGTTCTCAGAGGGCCGGGCAGTTCTCAGAGCCTCTTTGCGTGTCTGTGATACAAGAGAATAGGAATGGGAAAGATCACATCTCTCCTAACCACCATTTGCAAGGGTTATGCTCCGCCCCCCCGCTTACATTCAGTTGTGTGTGTTGCTTTACTGCAGTTCTCCACTTAGCCCAACAGGTAGGGATTCTGAGGAAATGGGTTCGGAGAAGCAAGGTAGATTGTCTAAGATCACAGTGCTTGTTTTGTTCCTTCTAACCAACACACCTGTGAGCTCCGTGAGGGCAGAAGCCCCCTTCAAATAATTCAGCCTCCCTCTGAAGCACCATTTGAATTATAAATTACTATCTCATTACTTTGAGGATTAGGTGAAATTAAGCAGGCTGTGTGTGAGCGTTAGTTGTCATTCTTAGTGTCTTTTTTTCCCCTCTCGCTACAGGTCAGAGAAACATGGCAGCTAGGCGAATTGCACAGGAGACTTTTGATGCTGTTTTGCAAGAAAAAGCTAACCGATATCACATGGACCCCAGTGGTGAGGCCGTAGGTGAAGCTCTTCAGTTTAAAGCTCAAGGTGAATTAAAGTACTTGGTTTCTTTGGGGGGAGGGTAGTTATTGGGCGTTCTTTTAGGGTCAGGGCAGGAGGATATCAGTGCCTTGGGCAAACTATTCAACTCCTTGAATAGGGGAGATAAAGTTGTCTCTTGGTCTACCTGTCAAATCATTATGCAGAAGTGGGCATTATGATCTGAAGCTTCTCTGCTTCTGTCCTCCCCCACCTGAAGAAGGGTTCTTGAATCAGTCTGTTTCCGTCGTCCCCACCACCGCTGCCCACATTTGAGCTCTTATTAGTTCTCGCCTGGTTTATTGTAGTAATCTTCTGAACCGTCTCTCGGCTTCTGGCTCCATTCCCCTCAAATTGGCCCTCCCCGACAGATCTATTAATGCCAGCCTTGCTGGGCCAAGGTCCTGCTTGGATTCTTCGGGGTTCCCCATTTCGGGGTTACATCCTCAAGACAAGTGCAGGAGCAACCAGGTAATGGTAATAGTGGTGTGTACAAGATGAGGGCATGGGAGGTTGCCAAGTGTAGGCCTTGCCTGAAAACATTGTCCTTGGAAAGTTTTGAAATGTCACACCCACAGAATCAAAAATGGTGCACACACCGTTTGCAAGATGACGGGGGTCCCTCACCATGGCACCTAACGCTCCCAGCCCTCGTCTCCTGCCTTTGGGGCTCATGTTTCAGTGACACTGTGCTGCCTGTTTGCGCTTGGAATCCCTCCCTGGCCAGCCTGGTTAAGTCTCTCGGGCACTGAGACCCGGCTTGCACATACGTGCCTTCCCCCAGGAAGCTTTGGCAGGTTTTGAGGTTGATTTGATTGCTCTCCTGGGCCCACTGAGCACTCCCTTTTTTGAGGTGGGCCAGCCTCCTCCAGGCTTCCTTTGGGCCTGTGCTGCCCCCTGCACCAGCCTCTGAGCCAGTGTCCACTGAGAAAGCTGCCTCAGTGTTGATGGAGTGAGTCTGAGTGCAGGGGCAGGGATGACTTGTGTACTTTGGATGGGGAGAAACCAAAGCCTAGAAGCTATCTTCAGCTACTGTATTTTTAAAAATGCTTAAGTATTTCTACACAAGAACATTCCCATTATAAGGGATTGGAAGAATTAAGAAGTAGTTAGATGTATGGGGCGCCTGAGTGGCTCAGTTAAGCATCTGCCTTTGGCTCAGGTCACAATCCCAGGGTCGTGGGATCCCATATTGGCTCTGCTCAGTGGGGAGCCTGCTTCTCCCTCTGCCGCTCCTCCTGCTTGTGTGCACGTGAGCGTGCTCTAATAAATAAAATTTAAAAAAGAAAAAAGCAGTAGTTAGGAGTATAATGTAAAAGTTTCTAGCTACTTCCTTACCCCTCAGAGGTAACCATATCTGTGGTGTTTTGTGAATACTTCAGTTCTTCTATGATACGTTTATGTAATCCTAAATACTTACGTATGGACATATGCATACAGACACATTTATATGTATATATTTGTATGTGTATGTATACACATGTATATATCTAGAGATTTAAATCTTGGTTTATTTTTATTTAGAGACTCAGACGTTAACTGACATGTATCTTAGTCTCCTCAAGAAAAATGGGGGGTGGGAGCTGTACCAGGAAACCAGCAGGATGCTAGATGGTTCCGGAACCATCACTTTGTCACAGAGCTAGCTGCATGGTCCATCCACCGGCCTTTCACTGTGTCTGTTCTAGTCTGTATTGCTTTACAAGGCATCTGAAAACCCCGTTGTGCAGACCCCATCCCCCACCGCTCCTAATGCTGTTGCCCTAACAGTAGCCATCAATACCTGTGTTATCCTGGTGGACTTTTTGCTGGAATATCCATATTCACTCTTGTACCTGAGTGGTCAGTCCCGTGCACTGGCCAGGGAGGTTTCCCCTTTGCTCCAGACCCCTTCATGGCTTTCCATCTTGTTTGGAATAAACTGTGGAGTCCCATTGAGGGCCTGACTTGATTTGTTACCCCCATTCTGTTCACATCTTCTAGCATAGCGGGTCCTTAACTTTGCTGCTTGTTAGAATCATCTGGGGACCTTTTGAGATTTTACTTATTTATTTATTTATTTACTTACTTACTTATTTTAGTGAGAGAGCACGTGCGCAAGCTAGAGAACATGCACACGTGCATGGGGGGGCGCACAGGGGGAAGGAGAGGGATAAGCAGACTCCACAATGAGCGTGGAGCCCGACGTGGAGCCCAATCTCATGAACCTAAGATCATGAGTGGACTCAACCAACTGAGCCACCTAGATACTCCTTGGGGACCCTTTAAAAATCCTAATGCCCAGGCCACATCCCCATCCCAATTAATTAAATCAGGACGCCTGGGGATCCTGAAGGACTCCAGTAAGCAGTAGAGTTTAGGAGCCACCTTTTACCACTTTGCCCCTCGTTCCTCTGTTCCATTCTGGCTCTACTCGTTCCTTGCTAGTCTTACCTCTGGGCTTTGTCCTGATGTCCCATTGCCTGGAAGGCTTCCCCCATAACTGCACAGTCTGGCCTCTTACACCAGGCCTCTGCTGCACAGATACGTTGCTGTCAGAGCAGCCCTCCTTGACCAGCCTGTCCGAAAATGGCTCTCTTCTTCCTGTTCTGTCTGCTTGATTCTTACAGATGGTGGATTTCTGTTTATTGTTTGGCTCCCTCAACTGATAAATCTAGAGGAGTAGGGACTTCACTGTCTCCTTTCCCTGCTCTATAACTCCATTGCCTGAGCAGTGCCCACACACAGTAGTTGTTCATTTGCTTATTTGTTGAACAAATCAACTTGGGTTTATACACAGCTTTAGCTTCTTGTGGTATCTTGGCCCATTACTCCTTCCTGGCATCTCTCTACCTTTTCTTTTATTTGACTTCTTGACTAGGTAATATTTTGCTGTAAGCTAGAAAGTTAGAAAGCAACTCTGCAAAGTCTCCCTGAGGCCTGCTCTTCCCGTGTTCCTGGCTTCTTACAGAGTTTCTTTATGTGTGAATAAGCAAGTGCAAATTTAGGCTCCTGTTTTTCTCATTTCTACACATTCTGTTCCGTTTTCACTGGGGCCTCTCTCGCTGTGGCTTGTTTAGCTTCTGCGTTC